AAATTAGTCACACAGAAATAAAGCGGTATGAACATAGGCTACCTATATACATCACATTTAGAAAGAATGATCATTTCTATATTTTTATAAAAGCCCCCGAACAAAAACCATTATTATATTTTTATGACATGCGCGGAGCTAAACTCTCGAGACGAGACTTATAACAGATAAAATATGTAACTAAATAAATACACGATTGTGATTAGAGAATAAGAAGCTGACGTCTGATTTCTTCAAGCGGTCGTATGCTGTCTGAAAGTGAGTTTTGAACTCAAATTATTTTAAAAGTCTTTAATGCTAGTGTTATCTGTTAAATTTCTGAAATGATCCGTGGCGCTGACGCTCTCCAGACGTAGAGAAACTCCGCCTTTGTTCATAACCACTCCTCTAGCCCCAGCTGGCCCGCTTTGGCCCTTTCTTTCTTTTTCCTTTTTATCTGACCCACATACATAGGGCCCGTCCCTATGGTAAACAGAAGCCTGTGTGCTTGCTTGAATGTGAGAACCACAGAGATTTGTTCTCGCGCATCACGCAAATATGGTTTAGCTTCCTTTTACCATATTTTATGAGCTCTATGTATGTGCGCTGATCAATGTTTCTATGTGAATAAATGCATAAATTGAATCTGTTCGTCATATAAAGTGATGTTTTTTCAGTCGACTCGAATAAAACCATTCAGTTCATCTGGATTACTTTTGCGACATCTTTTTGTTGCATGAAAGTTTTGGTTGCATGGACTTTCAATAGAATCACGAGTGAATAAAAAATTTTCAGATGAACAAAAGTCTTATGGGTTTGGAAAAACACAAGGGTGAGTAAATGATTCATTTTTGGTTAAACTATCACTTTAATGTGATGAAAACATTAGCTGATCTCACAATAAGAACAAACAGTGAACCAAACCTTTCAATAGGGACTATCCTGAGTTCTGACCTGAAATTCTGCAGAACAGGAAAAAACTAGCTAAAATAAATCTTTATTTCACTTTATTGAGAGACATCAAAGAAAATCAGCACAGAATACAGCATTGTTTAATACAGCACAGAGGAAGCATAAATATGTTTACACAAATCATTATATTATTGGGATTTCTTTCCCTTTTTTTCCTCAATTCATTGTTGCGCATTTATTGTTCAGCCCTTTCCTATGAAGGGCATTTAGTATTCTTTCTTGTATTCCAGTATTTCATTAGCTTGAGTATCTGTATCTTGGGACGCGACAAGGAAAAGAGTTTACTAACATGCCATTTTGTGATTAGTTGTGGTACTCTTAGAGGAAAAATCAATAGTGAATAAAGTTGTGATGTGATTTATATCTGCATGAGTGGGACAATTAAGTGAAGAGTGCATCTTAATAGACTTTAAGCAGGTTGTACAATGTCATCTCTCAATCAGGAAGTCAAAGTCTCCCTGATCGACTTTGTGGATTAGGCTAATGTCTCTTAAGCTCCTCTAATGTGTGTTGCTGCAGACTCACAGCGGCTCCCTGGCTAGCATGCTTGAGCGCCTGAGAGATGAGGCTGAGGCGGAGAGGAGACAGCTTGGCGAGGAGCTGGAGGACGCGCTCGAGGAGCTGTCAGAGCTGGAGAAGCAGGAGCAATGCAGTGAGGAGGCCATCCAGCACCTCACGCAGAAGAACCACACACTGGAACAAGAGCTGAAGAACACTTGCGCCGAGTTAGAAAAGTGAGGACTTCTGATTTCTAATTGAGTTGAGATGGATCACATCTCTTTGGTTAAAAACTGACCAGTGTTGGTTTCTCCTTTGGCAGGAAGTGTGCTGAGATGCAGGCTTTAGAAGAGGCTCATGTGATGAAAATCAAAAAACTAGAAGAGGATCACAGCAGCTGTCTTGCTACGCTGGGAGACGTGACTACTGACTTTGAGAGGTGTTACTTTAAACATCTTTTTGTTTATTAAAATGCTCTCCATAGACGTTTAAAGGGTGGTGTTTTTTTCTCTAAAGTAGGCCTTTATAGCTGCAGGTTAAATAGATAATACACAATTTTAAACATTAAAAAAAGAAATTTTTTATGATTGATTGTAATTTAATATTTGATTTTATTATTCCTTTTATGATGCTGACGGTTTAAATCCTGTCTTGTCAAATTTATAACAAGCCTCTCTTTCTAACCTCTCTATCATAAATGTGTTTTCATTTTATATTCACGGTAATGTGGAAACAGCATAAGACCGTATTTTATATATTTGTATTAAATAACTGCATTTATTATTTGTTTAAAAGGTAAATGGCAAATATAAATCTATTAATAACTTGACACATTCTTTTCCCCATCCCTAATAATGACTGCCAACACTTTCACATCAGCTCAAATCTTCAAATGTCTTACAGTTAAGAATATACACCATTTTTAAATGTTTGTCAATGTCTAAGTGATCGATAACTGCTGGGGTTTTTTGCTGTGCTACAGGATGCTTTTGGAAGTTCAGACTAAGCTGGCTCAGAGAGAGGAAGAGTTGAAGGAAGCAGCAAAGACTCGGAGTGAGGAGCTGAGACACCTGCAGGCGGAGGTGGAGCGGGAGAGTGGAGAGCGAGAGCGAGCTCAGACCCAGCTGGAGAGGGAACAGAAGAGGAGGCAGTCAGTGGAGGGCCGTTCTGCAGAAGCCAGCAGGCTGCGGGGCCATGTGGAGGAACTGGAAGACAAGGTTTCTGAGCTGAACAGGCAGGTGCAGGAGGAAAGAGACGCCGCTCAGCGTCACGCTTTGGAGTGGCAGCAGGAGAGACGACAGCTATGTAGACAGATGGAAGAGGAAAGACAAGACTACCACAAACAACTAGCAGAGGCTCAGCTGCAGAGGTGAGAAAGTTAGGATGCACTCAGTGGGGTTTCTAGTCCATCATAGTTTCCTCATGCTCAAAGACATCCGATGCTCAGTCTCTGTGTGCGTTGCATTTGTCTTTTTGTTTAATTCCATATTGCTGTTCATTCACCCCCAGCACGTCTGATGCTGAGACTGAACACTGGAGACACTTCTATGAAGAGCTCTATGCTAAAGTAAAACCATTTCAGGTAAGCAAAGGTTATATTTAACATGGTATTTTTTTTTTTTTTTTTTTTTCCCTTCAAATAGTATATATTTTTTTTGTTAGCTTTTTATTTCATTCCCTTTGTTTTTGTTTTTTTTCTCCAAATTTAGTTTTTCCCCCCTTATAGATATTTTTTTCTTTATTTTATATTATCTTTATAAATGTTATTTTTCCAGTTAATTTTTTATTAGTTTTTTTTCTCTCATTTTCTAATTAGATTATATTTAATTTATTTTCTTTTTCTTTTGCCAAATCCAGTACATTTGTTTTATGATCATTTTCTGCTGACCATACTCTCTTTGACTTAAGATACCTTTGCAACAAGCTTCACAATGAAAATGAGTAACAGCACTTTGCAATAATCACAAATGTGCTCTAAGGTCACACTGAAAAAATTAGTCAGCCAATTTTTTCAGAGATTGTGAAGGATGTGCAGAGTTGAAGGTGCTACACACAGCTTGGTTTTATATTGCAAAAACTCTTAGACAGGCAAGTAAATATGCGCTAGACGAATCCTCTCATTTGTCTGCTTATTCTGGTCTTTAGGAACAGCTGGACCGCTTTGCGGCAGAGAGGAACGCTTTGTTGAATGAGAAAGGAGCCACGCAGGCAGAGTTGAACAAGTTAGCCGATGCCTACACCAATCTGATGGGTCATCAAAACCAGAAACAGAAGATCAAACACATGGTCAAACTAAAAGAGGAGAACTTGGAACTCAAACAAGTAAGGCATTAGTCATTGTTTGATTGATGTTTTTGCTATGTAGCTGACCGTGTTCATGTGCTCTGCAGGAAGTGTCCAAGCTAAAGGCACAGGTTGGGAAACAGAAGCAAGAGCTGGATCGGATCAAATCCACTCAGGTGCCGCGGCGATTCGACCCCAGCAAGGCTTTCAAACACGAGCTCAAAGAAAATCAGCAGCCCACCTCAGCTCTTACACAAGGTAACTAAAAAGAACAGCACACAGTAGACTAACCTGCTACACATTATATATATATATA